TGGGCTGGGGAAGCCGCAGTGACTGGAATTGGGATGAGCTGAGGTGTCAGGGATGCTCTTCCTTCATGAATCTCTCTGTGCTAATGGCAAATGATTCAAGCCATGGAAATATCCTGGATTCTTGCAGAGATTTCCATCTTTCCTTCGAGACCAGAGGGTTAAATAGAAGGTGGGAGGTAGTTTGGGATCATTAAATCCCCCCCTGGACAGCTCCTTGTCTGCTCTGGGAACAAATCAATATCTATGACTTAATAACTCACATATTAACTTGATTTAATTAAATCCCAATCCTGGGCTCTCAGCAAAATATTTGGATGAGCAGGGGGGCTGGAACTACCTGTGACACAAATTCCTATTTAATTAGAAATTAATTCAATTTATATAGAAATTCCATAAGCAACTGCTCAGCCTTTAACCTCCAGTACCTCAGATTATTTTTAATAAATGAAATTATTTCTTAACCCCCTTAATCTCCTCCTAGGTCCCAGCAGGAGCTCGCAGGTAGTGTGTTCCCAATAATCCATTTCCCTGGAGGTGCTGTGAGAAAGTGTTTGGAGTCCAGTCAAGCAAATGAGTTGTTGCTAAGGAAGTAGGGAAGGGAACAAAATCACCAGAGCTCTGCATGGTGACTTCCAGTTCTTCCTGCTGAAAACCAGACTCATGGAATGGTTTGGCTTGGAAGGGATCTGAAATCTCATCCAGGGACAGCTGGAACCAGACAGGCAGAGACACTTTTCCCTAGCCCAGGTTGCTGCAAGCTCTACCCACCCCAGCTTGAAAGAAAATAGAGAATACTGATTTAAAATGCCCTCTCCCAAGAAGGGAATTTTAACACCCCCTCTCCTGAGGGAAGCTCCCGAAACCCTGCGTGTTCCCAACCCCTGCTCAGCCTCCCCATCCCTGGGGACCCCACGGGGGCTGGGCAGGAGGGGTGTGCCCGGGTGCTGAGCACTTCTCCTGCCTCTGCCAGGATGTTCGACGTGGGCGGGCAGCGCTCAGAGCGGAAGAAGTGGATCCACTGCTTCGAGGGGGTGACAGCCATCATCTTCTGCGTGGCCCTCAGTGACTACGACCTGGTGCTGGCTGAGGACGAGGAGATGGTGCGTGCTGTGGGATTTGGGGCTGCCTGGAAGGGAGCTGGGAGCACCCTAGCTCCATCCTGCACCAGGCTGGAGCGTTCCTGGTGCAAGGACGAGCACTCTTTGGATAAGCCAGTGGAATCTGGCCCCACAAAGTGATAAATACAACCCATCCATCCCAGCATCCTGTTAAATTGTCTGAGAGCTGCAAAGATGAGCACTCTTTGGATAAACCACTGGAATCTGGCCCCACAAAGTGATAAATACAACCCATCCATGAGGTTTTCCACCTTCCTGGTTGTTAGGAGGTGCCTGAGTTGTTCTCATGCCTTGTTCTCTACATGTGAGTCACTCCAGGAAGGAACAGGGGGAGGTGAATTGTCCCCTGTGCTCCCCCTGGGGCAATGGCACTGAGGATGTGGTGGTGACACCTTAATTTTGAGTCAGGCCTGTGCAGCAGTGTAGGAGTGTGCTTTCTGTTGACAGAGTGGCAAAATTATCTTTTGTCTTTTTAAAAAGGAAAGAAGCTTAGAAGTTTCTCTTATCAATTAGGTGAAAAACTACTTCATAAAACCTTAGAAACTTCACTCTGAACTTAAGGGCAGCTAATTAGATAAGAGCTAAAAAGTCTCACTTATGCAATTTACTAGAAAAAATATGTGAACAAAGAAAGCAATTGCTTTTGTGAAGTATTTTACCAAGAGCAAGATTTCTTGCACCTAACTCGGTTTTTTGCTTGTTATTTTGCCTTTTATTAAACCTTTTTGTTTCCAACACTGCAGCAAAAGCCGTTCTGCTGATTTTTATACCTCCAAAAGTAGCTAAGCTATCTTAAGTGTATTATATTCCTCCGAAAGCTTATTAGACCTAACTCAAAAAAACCCCAAAAAACATCAGGGCCTCTGTCCCCCTTCTGTCCCACCCTTCCCTAACGTCTCCCCCGTTGGATTTCCTTTTCCAGAACCGGATGCATGAGAGCATGAAACTGTTTGACAGCATCTGTAACAACAAATGGTTCACAGACACCTCCATCATCCTCTTCCTGAACAAGAAAGACCTGTTTGAGGAGAAGATTAAGAAGAGCCCGCTAACGATCTGCTACCCAGAGTACACAGGTAGGCTGGGATCCCTGGGGTTGGAGATCATCTGTGTCACTGGGCCAGCAGTGAGTGAGTCAGAGCCTTGCACAACCCAAAATCAGTTACAAACTTTTCCCCCAATTCCTTCCCTGTGCTTCCTGGACAGTTCTGGCCTGTTCAGTTGGCTGGTAGTTTGTTTTCTTGGAAGAGCTGTGGTTGGGAATAACCTTTGTCCTTCCCTGGAAAAAGGGTTGCACTCCAACAAATCAAGGTCACTTGCCCATTTCCACACCTAACTGGGACAATAATTCCATTTAAATTCAATTTTAGAGGCTGTGGAACTTAACCACGTCTTGCTCTGGCTCCTGTCCATCCTGGAGTGTCCGTGTTCAACGTGGATTGTTCCAGAACCCATCCCTGCTGTGATTCCACACAGATGGAAAGTTTTACCTGGGCACTGCTCAAGGCATTTACATGTTTAAAAAATCCTTCAGATCTCTTCAAACCTGTTGATTTCTGTGATTCCCAGAGAAGCTGTGGATTCCCTGTCCCTGGAAGTGCTTGAGGCTAGGCTGGACAGGGATTGGAGCAATCTGTAGTGCAAGGTGTCCCTCTTCCTGGCAGGGGGTGGAAGGAGATGGGATTGAAGGTCCCTTCCAGCCCATGACTCCCAGGATTTGTTACTCCCTGTGGAGCCTGGCTGTCCCAGCACACAGCAATCCCTGGATCCCATGTCCAAGTGCCCAGAGGATAGACTTCAGGTCCCCCAGAAGGAGTTAATGGTGGATTTGGATTTGTAGCTGGATAAGGCAGATGGTTGCAAGCAGCTTAATGTGGACTTAAAAGCTCCCGTGAGCCGGTGGGCAAAGCCAGGGATCTTCTCCTTTGCAGGCTCCAACACGTATGAGGAGGCAGCTGCCTACATCCAGTGCCAGTTTGAGGATCTGAACCGGAGGAAGGACACCAAGGAGATCTACACCCACTTCACCTGCGCCACCGACACCAAGAACGTCCAGTTCGTCTTCGACGCCGTCACCGACGTCATCATCAAGAACAACCTCAAGGAGTGTGGGCTCTACTGAGAGGTAAATGCAGCTCTGGGCACCCCGCTGGGAACAGCTCTCTCTGCTCCCTTCTCCATTCCTGGTTTCCTTCCCAGTGTTTCTGCCTGGTGAGCCCCAGCCTCTTGGTGCCTCGTGGGGACAGCGACGAGCATGAGCCAGGAGCAGAGAACATGTGGAATCCTGGAATTCTTTAGCACAATCTTCTGTCTTAGGGACCTTTTATTGCTGTGGGATGTGGAATTAGGGCACAGTGAAGCCACGTAGTGGGAGTAGATCCTCCTGGCATCGTTGGACGGCCTGATCTCCGGGATGTGCCGTGGATTCCAGCTGGATTCCAGACCTTGGATATGTAGCTTTCTCTCTTCCTTTGGTTAACAAGCCACCACTAGTCTGTTTTTAAGGTTATTTTTTTTTTCCATCAAGAAAACTATAACTTTACTAAACTTTATTTCTTTATTTGCAAACCTTGTTTTAAAAATAATAATAATTAAAAAAGCAACAAAAAAAATCACTTAACTATGCACATGTGAGCAGATCCTGCAGAAAATATTCCTCTTAGCAGGAATTCCTTGTTTTTAACACTTGCTATGGCCAGGATTTAATATTTCTGCAGCTACTAAGGGATCCTTAGAGCTTCAGCTTTTTTTCCATGTGTGATTTGTTACCATCCTGCTCCCCCCAGGCTTTGGGAAAGGCTCCTGCAGCAGAAGGAGGGGTTAGGTTCTGTTGGGGGTTTCAGCCCAGTTTTATGCCAGTATGGGAATGGATTTGTGCTCAGCATAATCCTAGCTCGGTGGGGAGAGGAGCTGAGCCCTCGCTGGGGGGAAAACTGCTGCTTCCCAGCTCCCAAACCACTGATTCCTGTGCATTTTTTGGGATGAAAACGGTGCATTATTCTGTGCTGCCTTTCCCATGGCCCTCCCTGCCCAGCCCTGTCTTGAGCATGCCTTTACTTTGTCTGTGTGGTGCCAAATCCCCGTTTCCCTCTAGTGCCATCCCTAACCAGTCCTACATTCCTTTGCTGATCCATGATTGCATCCAGACTCCTCCCAGTTTGTCATGTGTACAGTTGGATCTGTTAGACTTGTTGGCAGTATTAAAATGGTGAGTAAAGATTGTAGCCTTTTCTCCACTTTATTCTTCCCTTTTCCAGGAGCGTTCCCAGCTTTTGTGCTTTGCTGGAGAAGGAAAGGAAGAGCTTTGATGGGACCTGGGTGGAATTATCTGGACAGGGAGGTTCCTTGTGCTTTATCACCCACCACTGGTGGTGGTGTGCTGGTCCCAAAGACTTGAGTCATGCTGGCACAGCTGGAACATGCCAGGAATCCCATTGCCCATGGGATTATTGGCAGATGGATAATTACTGTTCATTTGTAGCCCAAATCTTACTGGCTGCTGTGATCCCCTTGGGAATTCTGCTCTGGGCACTTTGGGATGGAGGTGGGACTGTTCTTGCTTAGAAATCCAGGATAAATTCCTCAGGGAGGCTGGTGTGTGCTGCAGGGGGAGCCCTGAGGGAGATTCCCTCTTCTGGAATCTTTTCCAAGCTGTCTGGAGCTGTGTCTGTTTGACAGTTCCCTTCCAGCTATCCCACATGGGATAACTCATCCTCTAAACTCATCCAGGAGCTTCATCTGATCCAGGGGTGCTGGCCAGGAAGTTTTTTGGCATGGTGACCCCCATCCCACCCCCCAGGAGCCCAGCAGTGGCCATGGGGTGATCCAGGTGAGATCCAGAGATCCATACACCCCAGAGTGGATGCAAAGCAGGTGAAATATCCCTTGATCCAAGCTCTGGGACACAGGAATGGAGCAAAGTGGGAGAAAGGAAGAACATCCACATCATGCGTATTCCTTTATTGTGTTTTCCTACAGTTAAATGAAGCTGGATGGGAGATCTCTGCAGGAAACAGGGACAGGATGGATACAGGGCTCATCTATGGATTATTTACAAACAGACAGAGCAAATGCAGCTCTAAGTAGCAGAATGAAAATCTTTCAAGTAACCATTTCCTCTTTATCCAGCCTGTTGCTGGGCTGGAGTTGGGATTCCATTCCCCAGCCCCTCCTGCCTGAGAAATTCCCTCCATTTAGGGCCCAAACAACCCCACAAACCCCTGATTTGTCCTGCCCAAGGGCTGAGGTTGGTTCCCAGGAAAGACTGAGGGACTGAGGTTGGTTCCCAGGAGGACTTGGGGGTAACAGAGCCTCCACCTTTCCCAGAAATTCCATCCTGGATTCATCCAGCTTCGATCAAGGGCAGGAATGGGCTGCACAGGGATGAGCAAGGGGGCCATGTCTATCCTACCTCCCAAATTCCCTCAGTATTCCCATTCCTGCTGTGCTCTCTGGTGTCAAACCTCCTGTAAAACACTGAGAACAGGGGTTCTTCCTTGGAAAAAAAAGAGGAAATGGCCATGAAAGGGAGCAGGAAGTTGAGCTTCAGCCCCTTCCAGGTTTGGGTTTGGAAGGAGGAGGATTTGGGCAGGTCATAGAAAAAGTGGGAGCGAGTGACGTGTGGTGAGGGTTGGTTCTTCCTTTGGCTCTGCTCAGCAGAACGGTGAGATGGGAATGTTTTCTTCTTCTTCTTCTGGGAGGGAGGGAGAGAGAACAGGGAGTTAAACACACCCAGGGAAGGGCTTAGAGGAGCAATTTTATGGAAACAAGAGAAAAGCTCAGGTGGGGTTCAGGGACATGTGTCACTTCATCCCTTTGCCTTCCTCCATGGTGATGAGGATGGAGCATTCCCTCCCTCCCCACCTTCCAAGTGTCACCTGCTGGTGCCTCCTGCCTTCAGGGAACCTGCTTGATGGTTTTTTGATTGCTTTGGTTTCTTTTTGTAGCTTTTTCCTGCTTTTTTGTTAATATTCAAGGATAAGGGAAGCACCAGAGGTTCTCTGAAAAGCAAAGTGCCAGAGCCAGTGGCTGGGAGCTGCTTGGAAAGGAGGGAGAGAGGATGAAATTCCTGCTGCTGCTCAGAGTTAGTGCAAGATTTAGGATGATAAACCCTAATTAGGGTGATAAACCCTAATTAAAGTTTTAGGATGAGCTAAAAGGCTGGGAGCAGCAGAGTGTGCCTTGGGATATTCCCATCCACTGAGGCTGGGCTGCAATTGCAACAGGAGAGCAATAAAATTATTCCCTTTAGCTCAGGTGGAGGATTTGGGAATCTGTTTTCATCACTCCATGTGCAAGGGTGGGAATTGTCTGTCTGAGCCCACCCCACTGTGGGGTGGACTGAATCCCATGGGAGCTCAGCACAGGGATGTGCTAATGTCCCTGGGCTAATGGGACCCCAGACTTCCCCCTTCCCACTGCTCCCACTCCATCCTCCCCTACTCCTAGGATTTCCAGGACTTGATGGCAAAACCAGGGGGACCTACATCCCACCACCCCAGAAAGCAGGATGGAGCCAGCTCTGTTCATCCTTCTCCCCCTCCCAGCCCTTTTCTGGGGGATGGAGCCAGCTCTGATCATCCCCATCCCCAGCTCTTCTTTTTGGGATGGTGCTGACTCTGCTCATCCTTATCTCCAGCCCCTTCCCCAGCCTTTTATTGGGGAGGGATGGAGCTGGCTCTGCTTTTCTTCATCCCCTTCTCTTTTCCCCAGCCCTTTTTTGGGGATTGAGCTGGAGCTGGTTCTGATCATCTGTATCCCCTGCCCCAGCCCTTTCTTTTGGGGATGGAGCTGGTTCTGATCATCCCCCTACTTCTTCCCTGGCCCTTTTTGGGGGATGGAGCCAACTCTGCTCTTTCTCATCCCTGTCCTCCTTTCCCAGCCCTTTATGGGAGGGATCCAGGTTTGATCATTTTCAAATCCCTCCCCTTCCCCAGCTTCTTTTTTTTTGTGACGGAGCCAACTCTGCTTTTCCTTCTCCCCTTCCTGAGCTTTTTTTGGAATGGAACCAACTCTGATCTGCCTTACCCCTTCCCCAGCCCTTTTTCTGGGATGGATCTGGCTCTGCTCTTCCTCACCTCCCTCTCCTTCCCCAGTCTTTTCTGGGATGGAGCCAACTCTGATCATTCTCATCCCAGTCCCCTTCCCCAGCCCTTTCTTCAGAGATCCAGCTCTGATCATCTTTATCCTCTCCCCTTTCCCAGCCCTTTATGTGATGGACCCAATAGTGATCATCCTCCTCTTCATGCCCCTTCCCTTTCCCAGCCCTTTTTGGGATGGAGCTGGCTCTGCTCATCCCCCTCCCCTTCCCCAGCTCTTTTTCTAGGATGGAGCCAGCTCTGCTCTTCCTCATCCCCTTCCCCAGCCATTTTTGGGATGGATCCAGCTCTGCCCACCCTCCTGCCCTCTCCTGTCCCTGGTTTCTGGCCCCAGCCTCTCCCATACCTGCTGGTGCTCAGAAGAGGCCGCAGTCCTTGAGGTTCTCTTTGATGATCACGTCTGTGACGGCGTCGAAGACGAACTTGACGTTCTGTGTGTCTGTGGCACAGGTCATGTGGCTGTAGATCTCCTTCACGTCCTTCCGCATGTTGAGGTCCAGGAACTGGGTCTTGATGTAATTCCCTGCGTCCTCAAATGTGTTTGGACCTGCAGAGGGGGGGAATGCTTCCAAGCTGCTCCCATGGGGGTGGGTGTTGGAGGAAAAGGGTGGAGTGCTGACCATGTGTGTAGCACAGAACTCATTTTTACCCCGTTTCTGTTCTTCCAAACACCTTCCTGAGGCCACATCCATCCTCTCCTCAGCTCCAGCCTCCCAGGATTTGACTCACCACCTCCCAGAGCAGAATGGAGCTGCTTCTGCTCATCCTCATCCCCTTCCCCAGCCTTTTTTTGGGATAGAGCCAGTTCTCATCATCCTCATTTCCCTTCCCCAGCCCTATCACAACATATCCCAAAACAGAGCTGCTGCATCTTTGCTGGGACCACACAACTCCCCGGGCCCTGGTTTGGGGGGGTCCTAAGGAGGAGGGGTAAGGCTGGGAAGGGTCTGGACTCACCATCATACTCTGGGAAGCAGATGCTGAGATGGACTTTCTTGATCTTTTCCTCAAAAAGGTCCTTCTTGTTGAGGAAGAGGATGATGGAGGTGGCGGCAAAGAACTTGTGGTTGCATATACTGTTGAATAGGTGCAGGGATTCATGCATGCGGTTCTGCAGGGAAGCGGATTGTCACAGATTGACACCCCCTTTGGGCCACTGCAGCCCGCCCCCATTCCCAAGAAAAGAGCTTTTCCCTGTTTGCTGCAGCAGCAGCTGGTCCTGCTGCCTGCCCAGTCTGCTGCCCACCCAAAATCACAGATAAATCCACATGATGCTCAGGGTAGGGACTGGTTCCAGTCCCTCCTGGGATTGGCAGAAGTGAAGAATTGTGGTGATTTCACTGAGCAAATTATCCATGGAAACCTTGCAGCCTGTGAGGAAGTGCTCAGTGAGCACCATTCCAGTCATCGGGGGATGCTCGTGTTGGACCGTGGCTTCTGGCCATCATCTACAGCTTCAGGAAGGAGCTGGGAAAAGGGAAAGTCCAGTTTTAGAGCAGATGTTGAGTTCTTAGTTTGCTGCTGGGTCATCCTGAGGGGATGAGGAGGAGGGGACAAGGTTGAGGGACACACACACCCCTGCTCCTGACACCCCCCATGTGATGGTTCCAGTGCCACATCCTCAGGGGACAGGAATCACTGTCTGGGAGGGCATTGGTGCTCCCTCGAGTGTCAGGGTCATCCCAAAATCCCTCCCCACCATCAGGGCTGGGGGAATCATGGAGGAGTGATCATGGTGGTGGGGGAGGCTCCCACCCACCTGAAATTCAGGTCTTTGACAGAGAACTTGGTCTCGATGATCCCTGTGGTCTTCACTCGGGATCGCAACACATCCTGCTCGTTGGGGAGGTAGTTGGGGGCTGTGATCCTGTCCAGCTGGTTCAGGTAACTGGGGGAACAGGAAGGGATGTGACCTGCTGCCCATGCCTCACTCTAGGGAACTAGATTTTTGGGATGGGGATGGCACTGGTGGGATGGACAATGACACTGGTGGGATGGACAATGACACCAGTGGGATGGAGGACGTAGGACAGCTCTGATGGAATGAGGATGGCAGTACTGGGGTGGGGGATAGTACTGATGGGATGGAGAAGGGCACTGGTGGGATGGAGAAGAGCACTGGTGGGATTGGGGAATGGTACTGGTGGGATGGATGGGTGACACCAGGGGGATGGAGGATGACAGTGCTGGGATGAAGAATGGCAGACTCTGGGTACTCCCAGGAGCAGGGAGGAGATGGATTTTGCCAGGCTGGGTTGGAGCTGGCCAGGAGCTGTCAGGGGTCCCCAGGCCGGTCCCTGTTGTGCCCGCTGTGTCCCCACTCACTACGCGGCTGAGTCGTTGAGCTGATACTCGGCAGCGCGGTCAAAACACGCCTGAACACCCCCGTCCTTCCACAGCTTCTTGATGCAGGCCACCAGCTCGGGGGGCATCGTGCCCTCCTCTATGGAGTCAGCCAGGTTGAAGAGCAGCCGGCCTTCATCCTGCAAGAGGGACCTTGTCACCAACCCTCCCGTGGCCCCTGTCCCCCCCAAAGTGCCCTCAGGACTGGAGGACAACATGGGGCCACTGTGGACCCTGGTTCTGGGGGCTGCCCTGGCCCCACGTCACGGGGTTTGGGGACAGGGACAGCAGCCAGACTGACCGCGCACGAGGACTCGGCGTAGTCGATGCCCAGCGTAGACATGGCGCGGATGATGGCCAGGATGGACTGCAGGATGTTCCCGTAGATGATGGACTTGAACTCCATGCACTCCTCCTCCGTGTAACCGTCCTGGTGGATGATCCTGGCAGGCACAGCGGCCTCAGCCCCAAGCCAGGACATCCCCTCTGGGGTGGGGATCACCACCCCACACTGGGAATCACAGGTGCCACCACCAGATGACATGGGGGGGTGACTGGGGATCCAGCCACCCCATGTCCAAGAGCTGGTGGCTCATCCTTGTGGCCTCCCCCTCCCCAGTCTGGCTCAGGCCATACTCACTTCATCTGCTTCACGATGGTGCTCTTCCCTGACTCTCCAGCCCCTGGAAAAGGGTGGGAGGGATGCCTTAGTGCCCATCAGGGCCTCTTGCCACAGTGATGGGTCCCCCATGGGGACCAAAGCCACTGTCCCCCACCCATCCCCTGCCTAGACACCCAGCCTGGCCTCTTCCCACCACCGCTGTCATCCCTACACTCCTGTCACCCTTTGCACCGTGTGGGACTACAGCTCGGGGACCCCCAGGGTGGTGGGAGGTCCCTGGGTGCAGGTCCCCCGGGTCCCACAGCTCCCGCCCGCCGTGGGCAGTGCCCGGCGATGCCTTTGGGGCCGTAAGCGGCTTAGGGCAGCACAGGAAGCTGCTTAGAATTAGGGTGTTAATCGCCTTGACCCCAGCCCCCCCACCTGGATAAGGCCCCAGTGCTGGCCCCTGCCCCACGGAGTCACCCCTGCCCCACAGGGTCACGCCCTAGCCCCGTGGGGTGCAGAGGGACCCCCAAGGAACCATCTCCTGCCTGGCACCCTCCAGCAGGTTTCAGGGTGCTGGTGGCAGAAGCTCCCCAGGTTCTCGCTGGGGATGTGTCCTGCGTCCCACCGAGATGTGGGACCCAGGGTCTTGGCCCCTTCCCCATCTCTCCACTGTCCCCTACGTGCCTGCTGTCCCCAAGAGCCGATGCCACATCCAGCCCTTCCCAGGGATAACGTCCTCTCCTGGACAACCTCTCCAGGCTGATGGTGGCTTGTCCAAGGGGTGCCAGAGCCAGGGCAGGAGGAGCCCAGGGGGTCATGGGTTCCCTGTCCCTGTCCCCATCCCCACATCCCCTCAGTCTCAAGGGAATGGAAACAGGGACCTGTCCAGGGGACAGCCCCTCCAGCCTTACCAAGCAGCAGCAACTTGACCGTCTTGGCCTCCTTATCCGCATCCTCCTGGAGCTTCTTCTCCAGCTCCTTGGACCTCTTGGCCATCTCCTTGTCCTCGGCACTGGCCCCGCTCCCCATGGCTTCGTCCTCCTCCTCCTCCAATAACTCCACAAGCTCGTCTAGGTCCCCAGGCTTTTCCAGCTCTTCAAGGAGATAGCACGCACACCTCGAGGACGAGGTGGGCACTGGGAGATGAAGCAGAAATTCAAAAAAAGGAGAGCCAGGTACCCCCCACCCTGATGTTGGGGTGCCCCAAGCTAGCAGCACTCTTCGGTGGGTCCTCGCTGCTGCCTGCCCCCCGCTCTCTCCCTTAATTCCCCATGGATAACCTGATTTTTTTTGACCGTGGGATTTGGGGACTTTTTATCTTGCCATGTGACCCAGGAAATCCAATTAGCCCAAGATGGCAAAGATTAGGGCTCAGGGAGAAAAAAAAAGACGGAGCATCTCAGGGAGGTGGGCAGGGGGCTTTACATAAGGGGGACATCAGCGTGACACCCCCTGCCTGCGGTGTCTTGGGATGTGGGGATCATTTTGGGGGTCCCTCCTGTGGGCTTGACCCCACTTTTGGGGGGCATTGAGGATGGGATCAGCCCCTGCCTGTGTGTGTCCCCCACCCCTGGGTGCTCGAGCAGTGGCAGGGGACTGGGTGGTGGCAGGGGGTGATGGCGGGGGACGGTGGCACCGGGGGATTCCTCCTGCAGGGAAAAGGGAGCTAATTACCCCGGGGTGGGTAACGAGGCCCCCTAATCCTGCCCCGCCGGGTGCCGCCCTCCTGCTGCCTAAGCTCTTTAATGGGATCGTGGCTCAGCCTTCCTCCTCCTCCTCTTCCCGGGCTCAGCACCCCCCTCGCAGCCCATCCCCCAGCCCAGCAGGTCCCCCCAAACCCTGGGGACAGGTGGGTGCCTCCCCCTTTCTCCTGCGAGGCTGGCTTTAGGGAGACCCCGCCCCGGGGTGGGCTTTGGGACCGCCACAAGTCCTGCAGGTGCCCGACGTTTGGGTTTAAGGTGTCCTAAACCCCTGCACTTCACAGGGCCGCTGGGGGCTCCGTGTCCCCGCACCGGTGTCCCCACGTCCCACCGGGCGCATATTCGCTGCCAGCGCCGTTGCTTGGGGACACTCTGTTCCCGCTGTCCCCGCGGACACAAAGCCCTTTCTGAGCCTCTAATGAATTCGGCGCTAATGAGGGGGGTCCAATTAAAATACCAGACAGCACCCCCCTCCCCGCGGTGTGCGGACAGTGCTGGGCAGGGGACATGACCCAGGCTGGGGGTCCCCACTGTCCCCGCGGCTGCTGTGCCCTCCCAGCCCGGCCCTGGTGGGTGGTGTCACCTCGCTGTCTCCTCACCCCCTCGACAAGGGGTGGGGGGCACAGAGGGGGGTGGGTGACATTCCCTCCGCTCGAACAGCGGCTAAAAATACCCCCCGCGCCGGTGGCAGCCTAGGGGACACCCGGGGCGCTCGGAGGGGACACAGCCCGGCAGCCACCCAGAGCCACCCCGGCACAGGTAGGGACACGCGGGGACCGAGGCACGGGGCACAGGTGACACACCCGGCACCCCGCGGCCACCTCTGCTTTGGGGGTGGCCCCGCTTTGGCTGGGGGGTGAGCTGGGGGACTTGGGGGGGCAGGGGCTCCTTGGGGACATCCCTGGGGGGCTCAGGGCAGCCCAGCAGGGAGTGAGGCGGGGAGTGCGAGTCCTTCTTTTGGGGTGCGGTCCATTTCTGGGCTGGGGGTGTGGATGGAGGCGATGCCCCGTTTTGGGGGGTACTGGCTGATTTCGGAGGTGCCCGGTGCCTTTGGGGGCACAGTGCTTAACGGGGGGGTGGTGACGGTCTGTGTTGGGGCGCAGCGCCAGCCCTGGGGAGGGGGATGCCCATCCCGGGGGTGACGGTGCCCGTTTGGGGGGCACACGGATTCCCAGTGGGATGGGGCGGTCTCTGGATGGGGAAGAACGACACCCTGTCTTTTTGAGGAGCAATGCCTGTGCGGGGGTCACAGTGTCCATATTGGGGGGGCATAGCGTCCACCTCGGGGGGAGGGGGTTACCCTATTTTGGAAGCATCGCTGTCACTTTGGGGGGATCCAGTCCCATCTCTCGGGGGGTACGATGCCCGCTCGGGGGGGACGTGAGGGCTGAACCGGAGGGGAACGACTGTCCCCGAGGAGGGGCTTGGGGCTGTCCCAGAGGTCCCAGTCCCGGCTGTCCCGGGGAACACAGAGCTGTCCGGCCCGGGGGGGGTACACGTCTGTCCCGGGGTGTCACGGCTGACCCCACACGGGTACAGGGCGCTCCTCCGGGGGTGTCACGTTTGTCCGGGGGGGCACAGGGCTGTCCGTGAGCGGGGTCACGGCTGGCTCGGGGCTGTCACAGCCCCGCTCCTCCCGTAGCTCACAGCTCCATCCCGGGTCTTGCCCCCCCCACCCTCCAGCGCCGCAGCCACCTCCTTCCTCCTCCTCCTCCTCCTCCTCGCCACATCCTCCGCCCGCCCCATCCTCTTCCTCGTGCCGGTTTCCGGCCGGGCCCCGCCGGGGACTTTGGTCCATTCCCGGGTTCCTGCATCAATCATCAACCAGGGGAGGGAGCGGCCGCTGCGGCCCCGCCGCCGTAAGAGTCCCCCGGGCGCCCCCCGCCCCCCTCACCATCATCACCATCACCATCATCATCATCACCGCCAGCATCAGCCCCTCCGCTCCTCCCCGGCCCCCCTGCAGCCGCCATGTCCTCTGCCCCCCCGGCCAAGTGTTCCTTCAAGAAGCGGGGTAGCCTGCAGACCCCCAGCCCCGCAGGTGAGACCCCCCCCAGTGCCCCCCAGCCCCCGAGGGGACAGCCCGCGGGGACAGCCAGGTCACCCCGCGCGGGGGGCGCGGCGCTGCGAGGAGGGGGGATCAGTTTTGGGGAGGGGGGTGCCGCCTCGCTCTCAGAGGGTTTTTGGGGGGCTGGGGGGGAGCCCCACCGTGTCCCGGCACCGGGAGGGGTGGCACGGCCGTGGGGGGCCCTGCGTGTCCCCTCCCGCCAGCGCCTCGGTGGCGCAGTGAGAGCGGAGGAAGAGGAGGAGGAGGAAGGAGGGGGAGCGCTGGGGGATGCGGGGGGGTTGAGG